TATGCTCTATAGGACATTCTGTTTCTGTTCCCTACATATATGTTACCAACATATACTCTATTTATGCCTCCTTTTCTAGGTCTGCATTGAGTCTCGACGGGAAAAACATTTAACTGATAATAATCAGAGTGCACTTCATTTAGCAAGGTGACTAACCTCCCTAGTTCTTCATTTTCTAATTTTACTTCAAAATGATTAGACATGATACAATAATTCCCCACTTAAAATGCCGTGCTTTGGCTAGTACTGGGAATATAAATTGTTTGCCTACATACCTAAGAATTATGTTTTTATATCACACTTTCCCTCCCATACCACATTTTGGCCACACTGTCCTTTCTGTTCTGTGCACTTGCCATGCTCCTTTCCCCACCTGTCCCCTCTGCCTTGAACACTGTCCTCAAGTCATCATGCAGCTGACTAATTTTCTTCCCCCAGGTCATCTCCTCAGAGGTCCACATAATCTGAAGTAATCCTTCCCTAATTCAGCCAAATTTCTTTTATGTTAACTTATTTAATTATCTTGGTAACACAATTACCTCAGATCATCTTGTTCATATATTTATCTATTATTCACTCCTGTATTCCTAGCATATAGATTAGTGCCTGGCATTTAAGTATTTAGTAATTATTAATTTGAAAGGATGAACGCAACCAATGAACGAATATTTATGATTTATATGATTTTAAATACATATCAGAAACACAATAATTGCAAAATTATTTGTCTGGGGGAAAATCAATTCATTCTACATTTCTGAATAATTTTGAATAAAAGAAGTAACTACTATTCTGTTTACCTAATGCCACAATTTTTATTAAACAGGCTTGAAGATGTTTATATATCTCAGCCTTCCTAAAGAGCACAAAGCTGTACAAAGTGGAATGTTTCTATTTCCACAAATAACATATTTTTTGAGGTAACAAAAATATATTTGACCATGTATGAAACATTCCATCTTCTGACTGGTAAAACATTATAAGAAAAAAATGTTGAAAATAAAGAGTAACTTCCCAATTTCACATTAAAAACAAGCCTGCGATAAAGAAAGTCTGTGTAAGAGAGACAAACAAAAACAAGTCATAAATTAGGTCACTGGAATTACAACAATATTTTTGCAAGAAGTTCTTATAATTTTTGGCTAGCTTTAATGCAAGGAATATAAGATGTCCCAGGAAATTCATTGAACTCAGGAATTCAACTTCTGACAGGGTCAAATGGAATGTCCTTTGTGATCACGGCTGAACATTTACCCTCATACGCCAGTCTGGATCATTCCATTTATTAAATCTATACTTTCAATATCACATTAAGTACTTATTTTTAATTAGGTGAGGTATTAAATTCTTATTTTCAACTGTACCTATTTCAAGTGATAAAGTTCTACACATGTTCTCTTGT